TCCATAATACTCTGTTATGCTCATTTTTATTTCAGTTGAGTCTGTTGTAATGTCCCCCATTTCATTTCTTACTTGGGTTATTTGTATCCTCTCCTGTTTTTCTTTTGTCAGTCTGGCCAGTGGTTTGTCGATTTTGTTGATCCTTTCAAAGAACCAACTTTTGGTTTTGTTGATTCTACTGCTTCTGGTGGCTGTGGGCTTTTTTTTGCTGTTCTCTGTTTGTTTGAGTTGTGTAGTTAATGTTTTGATTTTGTCCCTTTCTTCTTTTTTGATGTGTGCATCTATTGCTATCAATTGTCCTCTGAGGACTGCATTTGCTGTGTCCCAAAGGTTTTGGTATGATGTGTTTTCATTCCTGTTTGATTCTAGGAATTTTTTGATTCCATCTCTGATTTCTTCTATTGCCCAGTGATTTGTACGCAGGGTGTTATTCAGTTTCCATGTAATTGATTTTTTTTCCTTGCTCTTCTTGTTGTTAATTTCTACCTTGATGGCATTGTGGTCAGAGAAGACACTTTGTATTATCTCAGCATTTTGGGTCTTGTTGAGGGTTGCTCTGTGGCCTAAGATGTGGTCTATTCTGGAGAACGTTCCATGTGCATTGGAAAAGAATGTGTACTTTGCAGCTGTTGAATGCAGTGTTCTGTGTATATCTGTGAGGTCAAGTTGGCTGATTGTGTTCTTTAGTTCTTCTGTATCTTTGGTGAGTTTCTTTCTAGATGTTCTGTCCTTTACCGAGAGTGGTGTGTTGAAGTCTCCTACTATTATTGTGGAACTGTCAGCTTCTCTTTTCAGTGCTGTTAGAGTTTGTTTTATATATTTTGGAGCCCTGTCATTGGGTGTCTCTGTGTTTATTATGGTTATGTCTTCATGATGAATTGGCCCCTTAATCATTATATAGTGTCCTTCTTTGTCTTTTATGGTGGATTTTGTTTTAAAGTCTGTTTTATCTGAGATTAGTATTGCCGTTCCTGCTTTTGTTTGGTAGCTGTTTGCTTGATATATTTATTTCCATCCTTTAATTTTTAATTTCCATCTTTATTTCTAAGGTGTGTCTCTTGTAGTTAGCATATTGATGGATCCTTTTTTTTTCTTTTCCATTCTGTCACTCTCTGTCTCTTTATGGGTGCATTTAGGCTGTTTATATTCGGTGTAATTATTGATAGGTGTTAGTTTATTGCTGTTATTTTGTAGTGCTTCTTTTGTGGTGCTGACGTTTTCTTTGTTCCTGTTACTCTCCTGTACTGAATTCCTTTTGTTTGTGGATTTTTTGTTCATTTCTTTTGTTTTTGTAGGTTTTGTTTTTACTGAGACTTTCTGTTTTTCGTCTTTATTTTGATGAGTAGGTTTGTTACCTTTCTTTGTGTTTACCTTGAAATTTACCCTTATCTGCCTATGTTTGACCCAGTCTGTTATTACTTGGTATCGCCTTGCCTTCCTCTCCATTAGAAGGTTCTGATTTACAGATGAACCTCTCTGGTTCCCTGTTGTAATTCTTTTGGTTTTGGATATTCCTTGAGAGTTCATTTCCCAGGTTGGTATCTGGCTGGTACGATCCTGCATCCTAGATTCAGCCTGTGGTCTGATGTTGTTTGTTCTCATATCGAAGGTTTCCCTTTAATAATTCTTATAAGTTTGGTTTTATTTTTACATAGTCCCTTAATTTCTGTTTATCTGGAAATGTCCTCATTTCACCATCATATTTGAATGGGAGTTTTGCAGAATATATTATTCTTGGCTGGCAATTTTTTTCTTTCAAGGTTTTATATATGTCCTCCCATTGCCTTCTTACCTGCATGGTTTTTGCTGAATAATCCGACCTTAGTCTTAGTGTTTCTCCTCTGTATGTGACTTTTTGTTTTTCGCGAGCTGCTCTCAGGATTCTTTGTCTTTGGTTTTAGTGAGTGTGATTATGGTATGCATTGGTGATTTTCTTTTGGGGGTCTATCCTATATGAAGTTCGTTGAACTTCTTGGATGGTCAGCTTCTCATCTTTCATGATATTTGGGAAGTTTTCTGTCAGCAGTTCTTCAGAGATCCTCTCTGTGTTTTCTGTTTTCTCCCCGTTCTGGAACTCCGATCCCTCGCAAAGTTTTCTTTTGATTGTATTCCACATAATTCTCAGGGTTTCTTCATTTTTCTTTGTTCCAAAATGGATGTCAGAAGAGACTCTGAAACTTGCTCTTGAACGTTGAGTAGCTAAAGCAAAAGGAAGAAATGATGAAGTAAAAGAACTGAACAGAAGATTTCAAAGGGTAGCTTGAGAAGATAAAGTAAAGTATTATAATAAGAAATGTAAAGAGCTGGAGATAGAAAACCAAAGGAGAAGAACATGCTCGGCATTTCCCAAGCTAAAAGAACTGAGGAAAAAATTCAATCCTCGAGTTGCAGTATTGAAGGACTCTACAGGGAAAATAATAAACGATGCAGGAAGCATCAAAAGAAGATGGAAGAAATACACAGAGCCATCATATCAAAAAGAATGGGTCAGTGCTCAGCCATTTCAAAAGGTAGCATATAATCAGGAACCGATGATACTGTTGGAAGAAGTCCAAGCTGCACTGAAGGCATTGGCGAAAAACAAGGCTCCAGGAACTGACGAAATATCAATTGAGATGTTTGAACAAACGTATGCAGCGCTAGAAGTGCTCACTCGTCTATGCCAAGAAATTTGTAAGACAGCTACCTGGCCAACCAACTGGAAGAGATCCATATTTATGCCCATTCCAAAGAAAGGTGATCCAACCTAATGTGGAAATTATCAAACAATATCATTAATATCACACTCAAGTAAAATTTTGCTGAAGATCATTCAAAAGCAGCTGCAGCAGTGTATTGAGAGGGAACTGCCAGAAATTCAGGCCGGATTCAGAAGAGGACATGGAACCAGGGATATCATTGCTGATGTTAGATGAATCCTGGGTGAAAGATGTTTTCTTGTGTTTTATTGACTATGCTAAGATATTGGACTGTGTGGATCATAACAAATTATGGATAACATTGCAAAGAATGAGAATTCCAGAATGCTTGATTGTGCTCATGAGGAACTGTACATAGATCAAGAGGCAGTTGTTCAGACAAAACAAGGGGATACTGCGTGGTTTAAAGTCAGGAAAGACATGCAGCAGGGTTGTATCCTTTCACCATACTTATTCAGTCTGTATGCTGAGCAAATAATCCGAGAAGCTGGACTATATGAAGAAGAATGGGGCATCAGGATTGGAGGAAGACTCATTAACAACCTGTGTTATGCAGATGACACAACCTTGCTTGCTGAAAGTGAAGAGGACTTGAAGCACTTACTGGTGAAGATCAGAACCACAGCCTTCAGTATGGATTACACCTCAACATAAAGAAAACAAAAATCCTCATGACTTGACCAATAAGCAACATCATGATAAATGGAGAAAAGGTTGAAGTTGTCAAGGATTTAATTTTACTTGTGTCCACAGTCAACACTCATGGAAGCAGCAGTCAGAAAATCAAAAGACACATTTCACTGGGCAGAAGACCTCTTTAAAGTGTTGGAAAGCGAAGGTGTTACCTCGAGGACTAAGGTGCTCCTGACCCAAGCCATGGTATTTTCAATCACATCATATGCATGCAAAAGCTGGACAGTGAATAAGGAAGACTGATGAAGAATTGATGCCTTTGAATTATGGTGTTGGTGAAGAATATTGAATATACCATGTACTGCCAAAAGAACGAGTGAATGTATCTTGGAAGAAGTACAGCCAGAATGCTCCTTAGAAGCAAGGATGGCGAGACTACGTCTAACATACTTCGGACATGTCATCAGGAGGGATCCGTCCCTGGCGAAGAACATCATGCTTGGTAAAGTACAGGGTCAGTGAAAAAGAAGAAGACCCTCAACGAGATGGATTGACGTAGTGACTGCAGCAGTGGGCTCAAGCATTACAGCGATTTTGAGGATGGTGCAGGACTGGGCAGTTTTTCATTCTGTGGTACATGAGGTCGCTATGAGTCAGAACCAACTCGACGGCTCCTAACAACAACAACAACAGTATTGTCCCTGTTTTTTCTTTGAAGGTCTTTATAGTTTTAGGTTTTACGTTGAGTTCTTTGATCCATTTTGTATTAGTTTTTGTGTATAGTGTAAGGTATAGATCTTGTTTCATTTTTCTGCACATGGATATCCAGTTTTGCCAGCACCATTTGTTAAAGAGACTATCTCTTCCCCATTTTATGGACTTTGACCCTTTGTCAAATATCAGTTGTCCATAGGTCAGTGAATTTATTTTTGGGTTCTCAGTTGTTTTCCATTGGTCTGTTTATCTTTTGTTGTACCAGTACTAGGCTGTTTTGACAACTGTGGTTTTATAGTAGGTTCTGAGATCAGGGAGTGTGAGGCCTCCTACTTTGTTCTTCAATAGTTCTTTGCTTATCCAAGACCTCTTTCCTTTCCTTATGAAGTTGGTGACTTTTTACATTTTTTCTGTTCTTATTTTTATATTCTGTTGCATAAGGAAGAGAAGGCATGGTATTATATTTGAACGTTAAGTGCTATTCCTTTTTTTCCCAGATAAAAAATAATGTTGATTCTTAGTGTTCAACAAATATATTAGTTTTCTTGTTTTTGGTGGGGATGGATGATGAAAGGATGACTTTGAAGCAGATAGGTATATATGGAATTTACCTTTCATTTGGAATCTGAACACTTATAACATGGTACTTTCTTAGCTACTCTCGTTCTCAGATTATCTCAGTTTCCATCATTCCACCCTCACAGTTTATCCCTAATCTTAATCTCATGTAAACATTTTACTGCCTTATCATGAATTGGCTGAATATCTTTAGATTGTTAAGTTGTGCCCAAGCACATTAAGGTTTGTCTGTCCTAGGTGACCCTCTGAGCATACACTCAAATTCCTTTTTAAATTCTTCCCTGAAGTACGGATGCTGTATCAATTTGCATGTGAAGCCTCCTTTCTGGGTGGAATCTTTGGATAACATGCTGACTTCCCCTTTTGCTCTTCCAGCTCCTTACGAAGCCAGACAGCCCCTTGTCCAGCCTGAAGGAACCTCGTCAGGGGGCCCTGGAGCCAAGCCCCCTCGTCTTCAGGCTTCTCTTATCCGGGTAAGTGATGTCATGGGATTTATGTCAGTGGGAGAGTGGAGACCCGCTTTGGACTTTGGGGACATGAATTTGGGATGGGCCCTCTTTATATCGTAAGGAAGATATAAAACTACACCCCCATGCAAATATCGCACTCCTTGTTGCGTTGCTTGTATGTTTTTCTAAACATGCTTTTTTTTTGCATATGTTTCTACCTCTTCTCGGTATCTCTAGAATACACCAGGCTGGTTCTTGGCCTTTGCTATGTCTTAAGTGTCCTTCCGCCTTCATCTCCCTAATCTTTAGGCACCTCTTGCAGGAGAGCTGAGCTGCATTTTTTCTAAAACAGCCCATCTTGTTTCTGCCTTCTTTATTATTACTCATTTAGTGCATAGTTAATTGTGTTTGTGGTTTGCCTCCAATTAGATTGTAAGCTTTTGGAAGGCAGAAGTAGCTTTCTTTCACAGAGAGACTAGGTTCTAGAGTTGTTGCAGAAACAAAAATTGAATGTTTAAAAAATATTTTTGAAAATCCCTTATTGGTACCACACTGGAGAACCAAGATGCCATTCTCTCTTAGGTCCAGCACAGCTCACTTTTACCCCCAAGTTGGAGCCGATGGCTGTTTCTTCAGCTGAGCTCCAGATGTAGTCGTTGGCTGGGTTTAGAGATCTTGTGGTACAAAAAATGTGCCTTTAAACATGAGACTCACACCCATTACGGAATGATCGTGAACACTAGGAAAGGTATTGGAGGCGCTGGAGTTCAGTCCCCAAATTTCCAGGGTATAGCTGTGCAAGTTCCTGCAGAATGTCTTCAGGTGCTGTAGAGACCAAATTTTTAATGGTTAGAGTGATGGTCAAACAAGCGGGACATCTCAAACTCTTTAGTGGTGGGCTTGGGCTCACTGGCCCCTTTTTCCCTAGCCCCTTGCATGGAATGGTCATGAGCTCTGTGTTTTCTCTTCTAGTCTCTAGGTCCCTTTTTCTGCTGTTAAACATGATTCTTGAGCGTTTCACTCAACTAACAGTAAATACCGTATTTTTCACAAATAACATGTCTGCATAAATAACTCATCCACACCTGTAACGCTTATAAAAACAATGTTGTGGGGGTTGCATGGTCAGCAAATAAGTATAGCACGCATGTTATTTGCATAAAAATCCAGTAACCTATTAGGTGCCAGGCACTGTGTTGAGGATACAAAAATGAGGTATAGCACTCCCAGTCCCTGCCATCATAGAGTTTACAGGCTATTGAGGGAGATGGTCATTAACCAAACTGTTACAAAGTAAATATATTATTCTGATAGGTAATGTGAGTAAAAATTACCCTGTACTTTGAGGGTGAAAAGTTTAGGTGGGGAGCTTGACCTAGCCTTGACGGGCAGGGGGTGATCAAGGAAGGCTTCTAGGGGGTAGTAACATTTGAGTTGTAACAAGAAGGATACACAGGTATGCAGGTGATGAGATGGGAATGGGAGGGCGTAGGCAAGAATACTCAACAGAGGAAACTGCATATATGAAGGCTCTTTCTATCTTCTTAGCACTTTGTACATGTCATCTGTTTAAATACAGTTATCTCATGAGGTAATTACTGTTATTATCCTATTGTTTCAGATGACAAATCCTGGGGTTTAAAGATATTATTTAATTTGCCCAAGGTCACAGCTAGAAAGGGGCAAGGCTGGAATTCAAACACTGGACACGATTCCTCAGTCTCTGGCTCAGGGACCTGATGGGTGGTGAAGCCATCTGTTGAGCTAGGGAGGCCTGAAAGAGAAACTGGTGCTGAGGAGTGATCACGAATTCAGTGTTAGATGTTGAACTTTGAGCTTTTTCGATTACCAAGAGAAAGTTTCAAAGAGATGGTAGGATATATGGGTCTGGAGCTTTGGGGGAGAACTGGGGCCTGGACATGGGTATTTGGCAGTGATTGGCCATTGGAAGGTCCTAGGATATAGTGCAGAGAAAACCAGGCAGCTTCTTGCCTAGGCCCAGCCAAACTCTGTGTGACCTTGGGCATGTTGCTTTTCTTTTCTGTAACATGAATAACTTGGAATGGTTTTAACAGTCTGTTGTAACAATCTGCAGCAGTCTGATTCTCCTAATGTTTGTTTAGCATCAGGGGAGGGTTTTTTTCCCCTTCTGTATGGTGCTATGTCTTCTGTTTAAGATGAGGGCAAGGGGCCTTTCTTGGGACAGCAGTTTGTGGTTTTTATGGCTAATGTGTTTTTCTGTCTTCAGTTCTTAGGTTTCCTTCTTATGCTTGTCAACCTGGTTTGGCTTGACTCCATGTTCCAGAAAGCAAAGTGCCAAACTGAATTAGCCACGTAGAGGAGAGGATTTGAAGTGAAGGTTCTTGGTGGTAGGGGATTAATATTTATTGGGCATGATGCTAGGCTAGGCTGGGTAACTAATTCCCCTCACGTTGCCGGCAACCAACTCTCGCTCTCCTAGCTTCCTCTGTGGTCTTGTAGGCAAGTTCTTCCTGCCTTCCTAGAAAAGGGAGCATGGTGTCTGTTACTAGGGAAGGCGATCGTAGGGGAGGCTTTTATGGACTCTGGGCCAGTGCTGTTTGCAGCCTATGGCCTTGGAATTTTGGAGGTGCTTATGCTAAATTCCATGCCCCAAAATTGGAATGAGTAGTCTTTTTTGCTTAATATTTTAGGAATTTCAGTTTTTTTCTTCAATGTATTGGACTCTGCCCTCCTCCTTGAAACTTCAGATACTAAGCGTATCCTATGTTGGTGGATGATTGATAGCAGTTTGTAAAGAAATTATTAAGTCTTCTTTCCTGCTTCATTTGTTATGAAGTGTTTATAGATCATTTTTTTTCACCAGAGGTTGTCATTTTAGTGTATTCCCTTCCAGTCCTTTTTTTAAAAATTGAGGTAAAATTCACACAACATAAAATTCACTGTTTTAACCATTTTAAAATGTAAATTTCAATACTAAAGTACATTCACAGTGTTGTGCAACCATTACCGCAATCTAACTCTGGAATATTTTCATATCCCAAGAAGTAATCTTGCACTCATTAAACAGTCACTCCTCATGACCCTTTCTCCCCAGCCCCAGCACCACGAATCTGTTTTCTGTCTCTCTGGATTTTTCCATTTGGGACATTTCATATGAATGGCGTCATGTAATAGGTGGCCTTTTGTGTCTGACTTCTTTCTTTTAGCATAATGTTTTCAAGGTTCTTCCATGTTGTAGCATGTCTCAGTACTTCATTCTTTTTTGTGGATGAATAATATTCCATTGCATGGATATACCACATTTATTCATTCCAGTTTTTGGAATAATGCTTCTTTAAACACTTGTATACAAGTTTTTGTTTGAATGCTTGTTTTCAGTTCTCTGGGTATATACCTAAGAATGGAATTTCTGGGTCATATGGTCATTTTATGTTTAACCTTTTGAGGAAATGCCAACCTATTTTCCACAGAAGTTGCACCATTTTACTTTTCCAAAGCAACATGTGAGGGTTCCAATTTCTCCACATCCTCACCAACAGTTATTATTTTCTTTCTTTTTATTATAGCCATCCTAATGGATATGAAGTGGTACTTTATTGTGGTTTTTTAAAAAAATATTTTATTGTGTTTTGGGTGAAAGTTTACACAGCAAATTAGGTTCTTATTTAACAATTTTTGTACATATTGTTCACTGACATTGGTTACATTTTTCACAATATATCAGCATTCTCATTATTTCCATTCTGGTTGTTCTGTTTCCATTAATCTAGCTTCCTGTCCCCCCCTTACCTTTTCATCTTTGGTCTAGGATAAATGTTTACCATTTGATTTCATTTAGATGATTATTTTGAGATGCACAGTACTCATGGGTAATATTATTTATTTTATGGGCCAGTTTGTCATTTGGCTGAAAGGTGACCTCTGGGAGTGGTTTGAGTTCTGAGTTTAAAGGGTATCCCAGGGTGTTAATCTTGGGGGTTCATCTGGTTTGTATCGATCCAGTAAGTCTGGCCTTTTTTTTTTTTTTTTTAAGGATTTTGAGTTTTGTTCTACATTTTTCTCCTGTTCTACCTGGGACCATCTAATGAGTCCCTGGTCAGAACGGTCCATAGTGGTAACCGGGCACCATCTAGTTTTTCTGGTCTCAAGGTAGGTAAGGCTATTGTTTGTTAGTTCTGTAGACCAGTTTCTTGTTTGAGTCTTTGGTATCTTTCTTTCTCTTTTGTTCCAGATGAGTAGAGACCAATAGTTGTACCTTAGATGGCTGCTTGTACGCTTTTAAAGACCCCAGACACTACTTAACCAAACTAGGATGTAGAACATTATCTTTATGGATTATATTGTGCCAACAGACCGAGTTGCCCCACAAGACTATGGTCCTAAGCCCTCAAACCCAGTAAACCAATCCCATGAGGTGTTTGGTTATTTCTGGGAAGTATCCATAACTGTGCCCCCATGTGCTTTATTTTATATTTGAATATATATGCAGCACACATAAACATGTATTTACAGATGCCCACAGATACACCTATACATGCACATCCATGTGTTCATATATGCCTTCCTGTACATACATATTTTTGTAACCATTGTTGTTACTGTTGTTGCAAAATTATATATCCCCCCCAATGAATTTTTTGGACAATTTCTACACAGATTGTTCATTGACATTGGTTATATTTATCATAATTTGTCAGCATTCTCTTTGTGTCTGTACCCTTATATTTGTGCTCAGACACTCATCTTTACTATGGTTGTGCTGTGCTCACTACTTTCACACTTGGTGTCACTTTTCTATAAGTCATTTTTGTGCTTTTCACAAGTTATCCTAAACATCTAGATTATGTAGTAATTTGTAATTTTGCTGAATTAGGATTTAGAGTTGCACCTTCTGCTCCCGCTATATTCCACTGTTTGTGTTTTTCCAGGATTTCCAGAAACTACCTTGTGCTGTCTTTTTTTTATTTGCCCTCTCGGCAGCTTTTTTTTTTTCCCATACGAAAATTTATACATACATTCTTATGTGACCCTAATTGCTCTCC